GAACATTTATCAATGAAATTTTATACACAAATTTATTATTCCATTATTGATTAGAATACCCGAAAACAAAGAATTCTAACACGTATTTTATGCAAATTAGCCGGTCAAGCAATGATCTTCTTGCAGTCAGTGTATAAATATCGTGGATATTGTTGTTAATATGGGGTGTGATCGCCTTTAACTGATAGACAGGCTCTACATCGGCGACCCATACTAAGAATTAGGGAGTTTATCAGCTCCTGTGGAATCAACGCCCACTCTTGTGTTAAGGCTGTTTCTAGCTCATGAGTGTTTCTAGGAGGGGGTTGGAGGGATGAGATCCGCCGTCCTAGGTTGTCCCATACCTGCTCAATGGGATTTAGGTCTGGGGATCGAGCTGGCCAATTCATCCGAGCAATTGCATGGTTTTGGAGAAAAGTGTCGACCACACCAGCCCTATGTGGACGGGCATTATCATCCATTAGAAGAAAGTTTTCTCCCATTTCCAATGCTTGAGGCATCACATATGCTGCCAAGATCTCGTCCCGATACCTCTGTCCAGTCAGGGTTTCTTGCCGAAAAATATGGAGTGCTGTGAGACCGCCCAAGAAGATTCCAGCCCAGACCATAAAACCTTGGCTTCTGTAGGGATCCCTTTCAACCATATTCCGGGGATTATTTCTGGTTCCTACCTCTCTCCAGACAAAGACACGACGAGAATCGCTGTTTAGAGATAATCTGGACTCATCAGTGAACATTACACGCCTCCATTCATCTGGATTCCAGGCGACATGTTGTCTGCACCAAAGTTTCCTTGCTCTCTTTTGAGGTGGTGTCAATGGCACACAAATTATGGGTCGTCGAGCATAGAGGCCCTTCATGTGAAGCCTTCTGCGTATTGTATCAGTTGATACTAAGACTCCTGTAGCTGCATTGAGGTCACTTCGTAGTTGCGATGCTGTCATTCTTCTATTGCGACGCACAAGGAGACTCAAATACCGGTCTTGATTTAACGTTGTGACCCTTGGCCGTCCTTGTCCGGGTGTTCTGGCAACATTAGCTGTCGTTTGAAATTTTTTCCAAAGCCTTGAGACAACGTTTCTTGTCACTCCAAGCCATCTTGCTACTTCTGCCTGTGATTGGCCTGCTTCCATCCTTCCAATAGCTTGCCATTTTTTTTTTCTTGTGATAAATGTTGCCTATAAGCCATGAAAACTTTAAAAAACAAAAAGGTTCAATAAAAATCTAGTGGAGCGTAAAATTTGGACGCTTTGAGAAAGACTCAGGCAGTGCTGGAGGCGGAGTCAACGTAGACGGTGGTATTTTGCATATTGGGAACAACTATTTGTTTTTCCGTTTTACATACTCTTCTTAATTCTTGGAAGCTTCTGAATATACCAAAACTTGATATATATCCCTTAATATAATTTTTCTTTTTCTTAAACATGTGTTGTTCCTTTAATTTTGCGGACCAGTGTATATAAATTGAAAATATGAAACAAACTATGCTAAAAATAAAATTATAAACACGAAATATCTACCATTAGAAATTAATTTTATTTAAGTAACCCAGGTTCCTGGAGCGTACAGAAGTCGCCAACTACCCGTTAGAAATTGATAGAATTCAATAATACAAACGTAAATGTTTGTAAACAAAACAATTTGATGATGATAAATGAATAAGGTAAAATTGAAAGCAAAAAAAATCTATGATTAAAAAATTGAAAAATTAAAAATAAAATATAACTACTAATATTTGAAGAATAAAAATAATTGTTTCACACGAAGCAAAAAATAACGACTATTCTATATACAGTTACGAGCGTCATTCTTCATCTGTTAATCAGTTTTCGTCTCAGTCACCGTTTGCTTTTTTTTTTTTGGAATGGCGCCCTCCTATTGGTTGGCTACGATCGCGCCACCTTTGCCCCCCCCCCCCCCCCCCCACTCGCTTTTTCGTTTTTGTAACTATTGTGTTGGAGCGGGTCGCTCCTTAAATAAATGCATATATTAGTTAATAACCAAATGGAATCCTCTCTTTCTCTTTCCCAGTAAGAGACGCCTACGGAAGCCAACAGTACATAGACAGATAAAGCACATAGGCTATAGTTATTAACTAACATATGCATTTATTTAAGGCGCCAATTTATAATTGTAACAAATAGTATTTGAATCAAAACATTCAATAGGGTAAAACACGGGCGTTGCCCGGGTCATTCGGCTAGTTAAAATATACAAGTATCAGAGTCATCAATCAACAATTCTGTCACCGTTTGCTTTTGTGAATGGAATAAATACCCAAATATGGCCATTTTTTATAAGCATCGGTGGTTCAGTGGTACAATGCTCGCCTGCCACGCGGGCGGCCCTGTCGATTCCCGGCCGATGCATTTTTTTTACAATTTTCAAAACTCATTTTAATTATTATTAAAACTAGCGGATGTACCCGGCGGGTACCCGAGTAAAGGTTTGTCTAACGAATCTCTAGATAAAGAGAACATTTTTTCCGGTCCCTTGAAAAATACACGATAAGTTGAATAAAATCAATATTAATTGGTTCCCTCGGTAATTGGAAGTTAAAGGAATAGTATTTTGCCTTGGAATTGTATCATTATTCTTGTCTCAAATAAATTGCCGTGTCATCCTGAATTTTGTCTTTCCTAATTTTCTACATTACAAAATCATCGTATCATCATGATAATATTTAGAGCAGATTGTTGAATTATAACAGATAAATTAGAATATTTATCTTGATTATTTTTAGGCGTAAAGTTATTTCAAAAATTTTATTTGATAGAAACCTTCCAGTACTATACTAAATAACTTCCTAAAGTTTCATGGCATTCCAATGAGTGGTTTGGTCAGGCATAAAGGACACACACACACATACATTCATTTTTATATATATAGATCAAGCATGTCAAACTCGCGGCCCGCGGGCCTCATGCGGCCCACAACGAATAAATTTGCGGCCCACCAGACAATATATTTTAATTTAAAAAATTTTATAAATTAAAAAAAAAATTAATAAAAATGTGTGACCAAGTTAATCCATTCAAATGTAAGCTAGTTCTTTGGGAAAAGCAGTTGAAAAACGAAGATTTAATGCACTTTCCGACATGCAACATGTACAAATCAAGTTTAGGTGAAACTGCATCGTATCAAAAATATGCGGAAAAAATTTTAAGTCTTAGAAATGAATTTGAAACAAGGTTTTCTGATTTCAAATCTTTGGAAGGCAAGTTTACTTTGTATTCTTCGATTTTCTCGATAAATATAGAATTAGTACCTAATCATATGCAAATTGAGGTAATAGATATCCAGTGCGATTCAGATTTAAAGGCAAAATTCATTGAAGTTGGCGTTTCTGAATTTTACAAATATTTGCCAGCCAGATTTGAAAACACTCGAAAATTAGCATATGAAATTATGTCCATGTTTGGAAGTACTTATCGGTGCGAGCAGTTATTTTCACTTATGAAAGGAAATAAGTCTCCAATCAAATCGAGAATTACTGACGTTCACCTTGAGTCAGTTTTAAAATTAATCACTGCGAACAATATTCCCCCCCCCCCCCCCCCCCCCCCCCCCGAAGTAGGAAAGATGGTAGCAGAAAAGAGATGCCAAATATCAGGGAGAAAATATTAACTTTACTTTCTTTTTTCTTATTAGTATTTTTTAAAATAAACCTACATAAATGTTACTATAAAAATTTAATTACTTGTTTACTTTTTTTGCGGCCCACATAATAGTATTACTTTTTTATTTGGCCCGTGTTAGGATTTGAGTTTGACATGCTTGATATAGATATACAAGTATCCGTCATCAATTCTGTCATCGTTTGCTTTTGTGAATGGAATGCTTTAACGTATACGTAAAATATAAAATACGTAACTAGTATGAGTGAAATTTTAGCAGTATGTATAGATAGATAGTAGAATCTGGAAAAACTTATATTGAATATTTCAGGTCTCTATCCCGAATATTCTTCGAGTTATTTGCAAATTTGAGTTGCAAATTTGCTCTTTCGCTCGCAAGCAGCGCCTCTAGCGGTGAAGATGAGAGGTAATATCAGCTGACCTAATCTACATGTAAAACGTGTTTTAACAGGACATAGAAAAAATATGGAAGAGATATTTGTCGCATTTTTAGTCAAGAAAATTTGAAATTGACAGGTTCTGGGCAAAACTAGTTGTTTTTTTTTTTTAGTCAGAAAATGATTATGACAATATTGCTGTATCATTTTTGATTATCAGATACAAAATTATATCCGGAAAAATTCCAAAAAGCAGAGACCACGGGTGAAGCCAGTTCATTTTTAGTATGCAGGAACAAAATTCTATCAGGAAAACATTCATTCGAGCAGAAGACACAAAGTCAGATCATCTCTTTATAAAAATATCGCTTCTCAGACACAAAGTTTGGAGCGGGACGTTTCATAAGAATTACATCCACGGCGCCAATTTATAATTGTAACTAATAGTATTTGAATAAAAGCATTTAATCGGGTAAAACCCAGGCGTTGCCGGGTCATTCGGCTAGTTTTAGTATATAGATCGCTATGTATAGTTTCAGTATCTTTCGAATAGATTGCTTAAAACTTTACAAAGATCTCGAAGATATGTTTCCTCTACCACTGGGTGGACTATATAGTCACCCTTTATGCCGACATGAACATGGTAGGTTGCGCCAATACCTGGTTCAACCTCCATAAATCCAGCTTCACCAGTTGAGAAGCTATGAAAGACCGTTTAATCCAGGATTTTGTATCAAATGCGAACAGAAAACAACTGAAAATGAGACTCAATAGAATGCAAAGCTAGAAAGAACCAGCAATTGGATTTGCTGAATAAATATTCTTGTGGTATATAATAAGATTGACCCTCATAAGAAAGAATAATCAAAATGAAATGGGTTGTTGGGAGATTTAAAAAGAAGTATTCTTTTGCCATTTATCTAAATCTACCAGTGAACTTCTTGACATATGCAATAAGAAGGATTCGTTTGAGAAGGATTATCTGGAATGTGTGGAAAAATAATAATTTCTTGATAATAGGCCACGCTATTCTCGACACCATCAACGAAACCATAGACGTCTCCTACTTCAAAAGGCACTACCAGGACTATCCCTAGACCCAGGTACCCGCTCCCAGACCTTACAAACAAATTCCCTGCCCCAGCTCTCTTAGACGCCTTTACAATCTAAATTTTGACCCAAAACTGAACTACCAGAAGAAAACCTACAGTAAGAGACCAGGAGCAAACAAGAATAGGACCGAAGATGGAAGACCAATCTGTTTCAAGTGTAACAATGTAGGTTTTCGCTTTCGCTTAAATTGATTAAGGCATCGATATAAAATGTCAAATGTGTCATTGAAGATAACAACATTATTCAAACAAATGGTTTTCGATTGGCAAGATGTTTTCTCATTGTCATGAAAAGAAAAACTCATATAACAAACCCTTATTCTCGGCCTTTAAAAATCATGATATACCAAACACCCTGGCTTATAGCAAAAGTAAATTTTATAGAGAAATTGAGCAAAATGAAAATGAGGAACTCTGATAAACAAACATTTATCATCTAAGGTTTAAAGAAAGGTTAAAACAAATTTGTCCAAGTATGCTGATTTGTTCTCACCGAGGATAGGCAGGATCAATTTGAAGAAACATTGGATTGATAAAGCACAAGACTTACAGAAAATTGACAATTAAAATAATTTTATTGACATCTTGTCAATACATGCAAAAGTGCATAGTCTGCACTTACACAAGCCTTATAGAGTAAGCGCTAAAGAGCGAACTATTATAAAGAATAAAATTGATGAAATGCTTGAAGAAGGTGTAATTAGGTCATCTTTAAGCCCCTAGTTTTCCGTTATATTAGTAAAAAAAAAAAAACGGGATGGCAAATACAGATTTTGTGTAGACTACAGAAAATTGAAGTAAAGGATGCTTATCCAATCCCAAGAATGATGGCGTAATGGATACTCTACAAGGATCTAAATATTTCGCAGCAATATATCTTAGATTGAGATATTGACAAGTCCAAATTGAAGAGAAAGACAAAGAGAAGACAGCCTTCACTATGACCCATGGATTATATGGATTCAACATAATACCCTTGTGTGGAAATCTGTGCTTGGAAAGTGCTTGGAAATCTAAGATGGCAGATTTGCCATTGCTATCTGGACGATTTGAACTTTCCAATCCACCTTAAAAGACTTGAAGCTGTCTTCAAATGTTTTAGCGAATCTAATTTGAAACTGAACGACAAAAAAAAATGCTGAATTGCTTTCGAAGAACTTGATATTCTTGGCCATATAACCAACCAACAGGGTATAAAACCTACCGAATTGATATCAAAGCCATTAGGGATTTTCTTCAGCCCAAGAAGGTCAACAATTATTCCTAAGAATGTGTTCATATTATAGAAAATTCATCAAATATTTCTCGTTAATTGCTGACTCATTGACCAGTCTCATTAGAAAAACGTACAATTTATCACATGACAGAAAAACAAGAGGAAGTCGTTCTTTTGAATATTTGCTCCAGGCGATTATATAACCTTTAAAACGTAATTTTATCTAGTTCTACTATTTCACTAGTAGGGACAGCAATGATAGGGTTAATAAATTAATTCGTTTGGTTACCTTTTTGTGCGCAATTTCTAGAACGTAATAAATTTTCTGCTTAAGTGCCTTTATAAAACAGAGCAACCTAGACAATAATGCCTGGTAGAAGCAAGACCCATTCGGCTACAGTATATATAAAACCACAAAGATACATACGTGGAATAAAGGTAAACGTTTTTTTTTTTTACACAAATTTTAATATTTAAAACCTTCACTCTTAGAGAAGAATTTCATGAACCAACTAGTGACGTGGAGATAGCATTGACAGACCAATAGACATTGAATTCAGCCAGTTGAAGTAATTCCCAGCAGGAAAATGACAGACCATGCTAAATCAAGTGGCATCACCCCAGAAAGGTTCTGACGACATTTATTTGCAGAATATAAGATGATCAACCACGCCAAAGAATACCAAAATCCCAACGCGAGAAACTGCGAATATTGCTTCCAAATAAGACCCAAATCTAAAACACACCAAAGAAGCCGCCAACATTAAAATAATTAATAATAACCTTTATGTCACACACATCATTATTAGACTGACTCAAGAGAACTATTCCGTAAAATCCATATAACCGAATATTCCTACACGAGGGCTCTATTAATGGAAAAGGATGGTTTGTCTTCACCACAAAACAACCCATTGCACCTCGACTCTCGCAGCTAAACTCAAGATCAATAGCAGATTTACGGAATCATCAATTTTCACGGTAAAAACAAACTTTTTTTTTTCTCAGATACAGCCTTCTCGACGT